GAAGAAACTTGTGCGTGTGTGAATGGTTGGTGGTGATCGGAGGGGACGATGGCACATACTGGTGGCCTCGCTTCTGTCAATGTGGCTACAGTAGTAGTTTATCACCACCGTGTTTTGAGGGAAAGAATAGTGAAGCGCGTTTGAGTGCCCAAAAAAGCATCATAAAAAAACCGATGCATTATTATTATTTTGCTGTATTTATGTATTTTTGTGGTACGGGAAGTTTTGGTTCAGGCGCATTGCCGGGGAAGATTCAGCAAGACTTTTTTGTCCCTTCAGCCATGGTTGCACTTTACCTGACATGTTGTTCTTGTTTCTGTATCGCATGTGTATCATTTTTGTATGTTGAGAATTGTATTGTAACTTCCTTTCATCTCCATTCTACGTACTGAATGTGACAGTGTCTGTGGATATTTGTATTCCTCAGGGGACAGAAAAGGTCTATCTATATCGATCTATCTCAAATAACCAGTTGAGGGTGCAAAGTTCCCTTCTGGGATTAATAAAGTGACACACACACCTCAGGGATTGGAGTTAACTGGGTACATGGACCAATGGTTTTTGATTCCACTACTGCTTCTCTGTTTCTTCTCGTCTTTTGTTTCTGATAATTAGTGGTTCTGTTGAACGTGGATAATCTTGTGGACAACATTTGTGGAACCTGTGGAACAATTATTCATTAAATCACCCTAATCATATCTGTAAGTTAGGACACTTTGTACGTCCTTTTTTTTGCTCAAATCAGATCGGGTTTTTCTGCTCTCTCTTAGGACTTTGCAATGAATGCTGGCTTGTGAAGGAATATAAAGTTGGATTTACCAGTACATGCATCCCCCAGTGAGGAGTTTGGCTTAGAACACAATGCAACTGCACAGGAACTTCAATGATTTCAGCAATAATACACGAAAATGAACACAGTGGCCCAATTACAGAAGCTTCTGCCCAGAGTTTGCGTTGTCCTGATGGATCAATGCTGTAAACTGTAAGCCCATTTTAGTGGATGTACCAAAGATTAAACATTTATAGCTCGGAATGAGACTTAATGCACATTGTTTTTGCACAATTTAGTAGAAAGACTGCCATACGTCGGGATTTTGTGTCACCATTTGCGCAAAGAAATGAATGAAAATGTATTGTACTGGCCCGGAAGAGACACTTAAAATGCACAAACACAAAGTAGCTATGCTAATGAAGCAATGAGAACATGTGACATTGGAAACAGCAGGAGGGCAATGCACTCTTAATTAATCATCACATCAGAAGATTTCCATTGTCCTTTATGTGTTGAGGCCTTTTATCTTTTGGTGTATCGCTTAATTAGGTTGGGGTTGAAACTGCACAGAGCCATGTTTAGCTCTGAGGGTCCATGCGCGGTGGCATTTTCTAAGTGAGGAATTCTACACATGCATTCTCTTATAATTGGTTTCATGATCTATATTGAGTTGTCCGAAGCGTTTGTAACAACATATGAGGTGGCACTGGGGGATGTAGACCCGCTTCACTGAATCTGCAAGGTTCACTTTCATTTGTTTTAACACACGGTTAGGTTTGGCGACTTAAAACATATAACTTGATCTTGAGACATTATAAATACACACATTGCAGGCTGGTTTCAGTTCCTATGGTTTGGTCCGGTGTCTGACATGAACGCAGAACAGAATTGTATTGGTTGTTAAACTAGAGTTTGGAGTCAATCCTAGCAGTCATGTTACCATTGAAATGTAGTTGTTTTTATTTATTTATTACATTTTATAAGTTTTTCTTATTCAATAATTTGTACACTTATCAAAGACTACATGGCCTACTTGAAGATTGAAGATCTAGGAAGGCATCACGGGTACAGATGGTGGAGCTCCTAGTTAGAGGAAGGGCGTACTATGTTTAGATTGGTGACAATGTCTCTGACATGGCTTTGACATGTGGTGTTCCCCAGGGGTCAATTATCTGACCTCTTTTATTCAATATGTAAATCTTCCCAATCAGCAAATGAATCCGTTGTAATGACACATCCTTCTACCACTAAGAAGACAACTCACAAATCTGTGTCTGCATTGTCTGCAATTGGATGCATTGGCCAGCTCTGCTGCTTCATCCAACAGAGTAGAAAGTAGATGCAAAGCAATTTACTTTTAGCTGAATTAACAGAAGTTATTTAATTTGGCCCAAAAAATCCAAGGGAAACAGACATACTGTACCTCCAGTATTTATCTCTTTAACCCTCAAGTCAGGGAAAGAATAATGGACTAAACTGATCTTTAACAGCCATATCACCTTAGTAACATAAGACTTAGCAGCTTTCTATCATCTAAAAAAACTTACCAGAATTATGGGCAGACGTAGGGACTCTATTTTGTGCATTTGCCTGCGGACGTTAGACTCGGCCAGCTCACTGGGTTCTCCAAATGAGATGTAAAACAGAAGCAGTATATTAAAAAATCTGTAAGTCAAGAACTGACTAGAACCGATAAGTATGCAGCAACAACAATAGAACAACATCAAAAAGTATTGATGGAAGCTGACAGTCCAACAATAGGATCCACTTTCCGTTACTTGCCTAAAGTGAATAAATTGGATCTATATATATTTCATAGTCTTCTCGATTCTGCCATTTTTCAGCAGTCAACCAGCTCACGCTTCCTTCTCGCTAAATCTGTTCTCACCTTATTTTGTCAAAGCTCCATCCGTTTGCATTGATGGTTATGCAAGAAAATGCTTATTTGTGACAAATGGCAATTATGATTATTTTACAATCAGGTTGGTTAAGGTGTGGGCGTTAGGAAGGGTAAGTGGGGACAATGACACCCCCCTTCCTCCCTTGGACAGACTTCCTCCGAATTTGCTGTAGGAGGAGGGGGAAAAGATTTGAGTCTCTCCCTGTTTTCTATTCTGGTGGAGGAAAACATTTCAGCTACATTAAAGATTTCATACAGAACTGCGAATCAAGAATAAGAAAAAAACATGAAAGGACAAAGAAGGGTCAAATAAATTCTTAACGCTTCTTAAGTTTACTCTTGAATGAGGTTTGGGTTGAGCTCTGTTATATCATTAGGCAGGGCATTTTTTTTACAAGGAGTATATTGGGAAGCTGCTTCTGCAGGAAACTATTTGCCTTTTTTATTTAACCAGGAAAGTCCCATTGAGATTAAGGAACTCTTTACCAAGTGAAAACATACATACAGTTACGTACAATTACAGATTATAAAAACAATCAAATACAATTTCATAACATTACGGATCATAAAACAGATACATTTTAATGGTTTTATTCTTTTGTGTGATTTTAATGTTTTAATTGTGATTCTGGTGTTTGTTTTATGTGATGATTTGTGATGTGGACTGTGAAGCGCTTTGTGTTGCCCTGTGTATGAAAGGCGCTCTACAAATAAACTTTGATTGATTGATTGATTGATACATTTCAATGAGGATGTCTCAAGTGAAATGTAACTGTTACCCCTGTTCTAATGGTTCTGGTCCACTTCAAAATGTGAGCGGCAGAGTTATAAATAAGCTGCAGACGCTGGAGTTGAGAGGAGGGTTGGGGTATGGTTGTTAAGATTCTCTATTTGGAATTTTGAACTTTAGCAAGACAAGGTTAGCGTTATCATCAATTCTGTTGCTCTAATGATCAGAAAAACAGATAGAAAACTCTCACAAGTAGCAAGGCTCACTATATTCAGGAAGGGTATGCAGGCTAAGCAGTCTTCTGACCCCAGTGTTTAGGTCCATCTACCAAATCCTATAAAGCTTCGTTCTCGACAATGGCCTGAATTCTGCTGAAGTCCATGGTTACTGGTTTGTTTTGGGGAGGATCCTTGGATATGGTACAGGTTCTAAAGCAGGGGGCTAAAGGTTGCAGGTTTAAGTTTGGGTTTTACTCAGGTGAGTTCAGTTTTAACCTGATGATTTTGTTGGAACTAAACCTTGCAGCCACACCGGCCTTTTGAGGACCAGTTCGACATCTGTGTAACGGAAACACAATCAGTGAAGCAGAGTTGAGTATCTTAAGTTAAAAGGTATATAGGAGGATTTTTCCAAATTTTAGGAACAAAATTGAACCCCTCACATGGAACGCCTATTATGACATGTCTCGTATATCACCAGAATGATTGATAATAAGAAGGTATTCTCCCATACACCGTTTAGTACTTACCAGTCAAAAACATATTCACCTTGTTCCTTTTATTTCGCTTTACTCACCACATGCAGTTCCATAACGCCATGTGACAAAAATGGTTCTATCGTTTTCCAATGCTGCTCATACTTTTACTTGGCTATGACTCTGAAGTTTTTTGAAAAGCCAACTCACTTGTGTCTCCTCTGTCACTTCTTTGTGTGTCCAGGACTCTTCAAGTATGGATTCCAAAGCCCGGCGCCTGCCTGATGAACCAAGACGGCATTGCGAGACACTGGAAAACTACATTTTGACTTGCTGATTTGCACATTTACTCTCCGATATCTACAAGAACACATTGCAAGCGAAGTTTCAGCCGAGGCCTCAATTTAGCCAGCTTCATGAGGACTGTGGAATAGATAAGAGACAACAAGGCGCTGTGTATATCTCTGGCCATCATCTTGCGTGCGCAGTTCCTCAACGGGGTTATTGAAAAGGAGGAGCCCATTAGGCGTGTGATAGATCGGAGGCTGTGGTGGAGGTGCTGTTGTCGGGTACGAGATGAGATAAGAACCAGGGAGAAGGAAGTATCTGCTGTACCTCGCCTGAATACCAATGAGAGTTTGTTTGCACACAACAACATTGGGGCACAAATCAATACAAAAACAAAATATGGTGAAATGACTCTATCTCCCCAGAGTGAGACTGAGAGTTTAAGTAATGGAGTATAAATGCTGAGATCAACACTTTCTTCTGTAGATATCATTGCACAATGAAGGAATATATTAGTTCAACTAAAATGTCCATTTATTGGTGCCATGTTGTGACCTGCATGTGTGGGAGCAGAGCGGAGCCTCTGGCCTGATCACTGTGAGGGATAAGGTGCGGGATGGAGTTGGACAACAGCTCTCTGGACTATTTCCTGCTCAACTCCTCCGAGGTCCCAGAGGCGGGTGCAGTGCAGCCCTGGAGTGATGCTACAGTACTGGGCTTTCAGATCTCTCTATCTGCTGTTCTTGCACTCGTCACCCTTGCCACAGTGCTCTCTAATGCCTTTGTCATTGCTACTATTTTCCTAACCAGAAAACTCCACACCCCGGCCAACTTCCTGATAGGCTCTCTGGCTGTGACAGACTTACTGGTGTCTATTCTGGTCATGCCCATTAGCATCGTCTACACTGTGAGTAAGACGTGGTCCTTTGGGCAGATTGTGTGTGACATCTGGCTGTCATCTGATATCACGTTCTGCACGGCGTCCATCTTACATTTGTGTGTGATTGCCTTGGATCGTTACTGGGCCATCACAGACGCTCTGGAGTACTGCAAGCGCCGCACCATGAGGCGGGCAGCCGTTATGATCGGAGTGGTGTGGGTTATCTCCATATCCATTTCAATGCCTCCTCTTTTCTGGAGGCAGGCCAAGGCTCAGGAGGAGCTGACAGATTGCATGGTGAACACAGATCAAATCTCTTACACTATCTACTCCACCTTTGGGGCCTTTTACGTGCCCACAGTTCTCCTCATCATTCTCTATGGGAGGATCTACGTGGCTGCACGTTCTCGGATCTTTAAGACACCAGCAGCCAGTGGGAAGCGGTTCACCACAGCTCAGCTCATCGAGACCTCTGCCGGCTCGTCTCTGTGCTCGCTGAACTCCGATGCCCACCTGCACACCGCCGGGGCAGGCAGCTCCCCGCTCTACGTCAACAGTGTCAAGGTCAAACTGGCTGACAGCGTGGTGGAGAGGAAACGCCTGTGTGCAGCACGAGAACGTAAAGCCACCAAAACCCTGGGCATCATCTTGGGAGCCTTCATCGTGTGCTGGCTGCCCTTCTTCGTGGGCACACTGGTGACGGCCATCTGTAAGGACTGCTGGTTTGACCCGGTGCTGTTCGACGTCTTCACATGGCTGGGCTACCTCAACTCTCTCATTAACCCAGTCATTTACACTGTCTTCAATGATGAGTTCAAACAGGCTTTCCAAAAACTTGTTAAACTTCGAAGAATCTGAGGGCTAGAATGACTTAAGTCATTAACATAATGTGACAGCAAGAATACCATGTGAGTGTGTGTGCATTGTTAGGACCAGGATTACAAACCCATGTTTATCCTTGCCACAGACAGATCATGAATCACAACAGGGTGGTTACATGCATGAAATAAAAGCCATGCTTTATTATGACATGAATAAAGATACACTTTAGTTTAGCTGCTTAAATATACCAGGAAAATACAGAAGCACCCATTCTAAACCGCAGCTATTTTTATCATGAATTAGTTTCCAATTCCACTGAACAAGTGCCTGCATCCAGAGCATGTGGACACATTGTGCTTGTTAGAGAAAACCATAACACTACGTGAGAGGGAATTTCTTTTTTTGACCTTTAAAAACCTTGGAGCAGGAAAGCTTGTCGGTAAACCAGCTGTTTTAGACCTGGGTCTCTGGGATTTGCAGCTCTTTGAAATGAGTAAAGAGAATGATTTATATTTATGGAAACATAATGATTATACTTATATTTATCTTTGAAATGTGAATTATGTGATATATGTCTCTGACCTGTGTGCTCAAGCAGCGCTTAGCCCTGAATTAGACTTGTACAGTTTGTTGGTCTTAGAGTGTCTGCATGCATGCTAAGCAATAGAACATCAATATTACTGGACTCAAGTAGGAGATAAGCACATGGAGATGCTTCTGCTCCAGGTCTGAGTGCTCACATCTGGGGAGAAGGCAATTAAACGAAGGCCGGACGGGTGCAATGGACAACCGCTTTAACAGACTGCATATAATATGGAAACATAATATTCCAGTGAATATGAAAAGCCATCAAGTGTATTTTGTCTTTGTGTCATTCTGCTGCTGTTGCTCTGATGTCTGTTGTACAGTAAAGTACTTAGAACCTCAGTGTCTCCTGCAGGTCTATCTCTTTTCATGTAACTACACTGTATATTACCATTATGGTATGATTTTTTTTTTTGTATCACAGGTTATACACAAGGCTACTCAAAGAGAAAATATGAGGCATAAATAATCTATAACAATGCATTTAAAAGAGTGAAGATGCAATCCCTCAGTTTTTTACACAGCTAAACAGAACTGTTTTTAACCTGGATTCTAACATTATCAGGGAATGTCTCAAATTTTCAGGAAGACTGTTCTAGATTTTAGCTGCATAAATCTTAAAGAGATGCATAATACCAGGCTGTAGCAGCAGTGCATATTACACCTGTAGTCCCTGAACTGGTTATATTTACATAGAGCACATAATGTCACTGAGAAATGGAAAGTAAGCAAAGTGTTGACATGCAGAGACCGGCCCCATTCTCCGGCTCAAACAGAATCAGCTTTTTCAAATGTTGGTTTTCAATTATTAAACCAAGGGAAGCTACTTTCCAGTCAAACATTCATGTCCCTGATGTGTATGGTCAAATATAAATCCAATTCAAACAATCCCGTTATGATTCACGGTTACTACAACTATCAGCTTGGGTTGTAATAAGTTCATTGATTAATTGCATCTAATCAACTATTGCAAATAATTTAGTAATCAATGAATGTGTTTTGGACCTTCTATAGGCTTAAACAAACTGAGAAGAGGTTTTATGACTCAGATTATGCTACAATAACTGCAGAAAGAGATGAAAACGGGTTTACAAAGTATTTTCAATCAAACAGGTTCATCTCTGTTATTTTCCAAGGGCATCACTTGAGGTTTTTTTGGTCAATGTACACAGAAATCCCTTATTCAACTACTGTAATTGCCAAACAATAAACTACTACATTCTTTCACTTTTTCTAAACCCTGTGACCAATGTAACGATGCGGGTAATGTATGTATTTATACTGCTGTAGAACATCTCCAGGGAGGCAAGAGAGAACTTGGACACAGCTCTATCAGTTGTTGATTATGTGAATAGCAGAAAAAGCCAACGCGAGGAGATTTCACCTAGGGCGGTTGTCAGATTGGAGTTTATGGACTTATTATTTTCACTCCATCCAGGTCTAGAAGCCATTGGACAATTTCAATATTTCATGTCAAAATAGATTGGTAAATGAGTTCCAACACAGATGCTAAAGTGTTTTACAACGGTTCCCATCTCACCAGCACCAAACAAAACAATTGATCATCAAAACAATCGCTATTTACAGCCCTACAATCAGGTATATGTCTGTGATCTAAGTGAAGAATAGCTATAATATATTAATATAAAATAAAAACTCTAGCATCAAAGAACAAGAATAATATCTCTATCTTTAGTAGTAAAGAAGTATAGTGTTTTTACATTTGGCAAATTAAGAGGCAAGTATAAAGTACTGTGTATTCTACTGCAAGCAATATATAGTTATATGTTAGCATCTGTACACGTTAGCAGCAGTATGTTTACATCTGTACATTAGCAGCAGTATGTTTACATCTGTACATGTTAGCAGTATGTTCACATCTGTACATTAGCAGCAGTATGTTTACATCTGTACATGTTAGCAGTATGTTTACATCTGTACAGTACATTAGCAGCAGTATGTTTACATCTGTACATGTTAGCAGTATGTTTACATCTGTACATTAGCAGCAGTATGTTTACATCTGTACATGTTAGCAGTATGTTTACATCTGTACATGTTAGCAGTATGTTTACATCTGTACATGTTAGCAGTATGTTTACATCTGTACATTAGCAGCAGTATGTTTACATCTGTACATGTTAGCAGTATGTTTACATCTGTACATGTTAGTAGTATGTTTACATCTGTACATGTTAGCAGCAGTATGTTTACATCTGTACATTAGCAGCAGTATGTTTACATCTGTACATGTTAACAGTATGTTTACATCTGTACATTAGCAGCAGTATGTTTACATCTGTACATGTTAACAGTATGTTTACATCTGTACATTAGCAGCAGTATGTTTACATCTGTACATGTTCGTAGTATGTTTACATCTGTACATTAGCAGCAGTATGTTTACATCTGTACATGTTAACAGTATGTTTACATCTGTACATTAGCAGCAGTATGTTTACATCTGTACATGTTAGCAGTATGTTTACATCTGTACATTAGCAGCAGCAGTATGTTTACATCTGTGCATTAGCAGCAGTATGTTTTAGTGCTGTCCAAAATATCGCGTTATTAACGCGTTAACGCAAATCAATATTAACGGCGTCATTTTTTTTATCGCGCAATTTTTTATTTTATTTTTTTACTTTTTTTACTTTTTATTGCAAACACATATACAGAAAAAAAATAGAAACAAAGAAAAGGACTAGTTCAGATACATTGTAGACAGAGATTACAAACAATATGTAGTTGGAGATACAGGGGGCCAAAGAAGAAACCCAGAAGGGCACATAGGAGGGGGGGGGGACATGAAGTGGGAGATGGGGGGAGGGGTTAATAAAAAAGGCAATACAAGCAAACAGTATACAGTCATAGATATACCGAAAGTAAACAGAGAAACAGCATAGAGTATTTACATGAACAAATTTACTAAATATTTACAGATTGTTTATCATCATCATAATGACACCATGATATTTCTATACAGTCTATGGTCTATACCCACACATACACACACACACACCCACACACACACACCCACACAAATGTGTGACTAATTTGCGATTAATCGCGAGTTAACTATGAAATTCATGCGATTAATCGCTGGACAGCACTAGTATGTTTACATCTGTACATGTTAGCAGTATGTTTACATCTGTACATTAGCAGTATGTTTACATCTGTACATTAGCAGTATGTGTTTACATCTGTACATTAGCAGTATGTTTACATCTGTACATTAGCAGTATGTTTACATCTGTACATTAGCAGTATGTTTACATCTGTAAATGATTGAAGGAAAGGCAAGCTCAGAGTTCTTACCAGCGTTTTCTGAGCATCAAGACCCAGAGCTGTGATTGTTACCCTACGCCACGATTTCAACCCAGCATTGTTAGATTACCAGGGCGATTTTCTGTTATTTTTCCAATGTTGCTCAAGTCTATTGGCTCACTTTCCTAAGTATTATGGCTCCTTCCCGCTTTCACATTTTACGGACTGCTGTGGTCACTGCACGCACCATAGAGGGGAAGATTCAAGAATTGGCTAACTTCCCCCGGTATGACACATAAATTTTTTTTTTTTTTTTTTTTTTTTTTTCCTTTGTTGTCTATGTCACTTTGTTGTTTTGTAAGAACATTAATAATAATAATAAAACAAGATTCAAGAATTAATTTGCCATTTGTAGTAAAACCAATCAGAAAAAATGTGTTAAAACTTACCCAGTTTGCTCCAGAGCACACCACCAGAGCTGTTGCCATGGGTGTCTGGCGGTACTGTGCCAAGAGGAGGGGGGGTGGCTGACTGTTGATCGGGGGGGTAAAGGGATTACGATATGGGGTATTGCAGCATGGGATGAAATGCCCTGGGGAACATTGGGAGGACCATGACGTGCTAAATATCCTGGTGGATAATCTTGAACGTTATCTATAGCTCAAATTTTCCAAATGATTAGTAGTATGTTAAGGTAACTTGTGTATTTTCATTGACCGGGGGAAGGTTCACATTGTTCAAAGGGTCCCTTCACAGATTGGTTTGTAATATTGGTCCCTATTTTAAATTCAATTGGGCTTTAAAACAGTGACTCAGCGGGAAACTGGGGGGTGTAGTTGTGGGTTCAATCCCCCACGAGTCCTACTCTACATTAACCTCAAATTGCCGGAAGTCTCCGCTGAATGACAATGGCTGTGTCCCTGTGATGGCTCAGAGCTCTTCCTGTGGACCACCTGCAGGAAGATCAGCGGGGGACTGTGCTACCGTATGAGTTCGGATGGCGCTTGATTGCCACCAGAAATGACTATAAAGGGTAGAAAATCAATGAATGTTTTAAAATATTTCAAAGATAAAGGGGGGACATATTGTTTTCTTTGTACACAGAAGTCTCAAACTGCTTAATCTCTGTCTTATCCCCATAAACTTTTATTTTTTGTTTGTTGAATGTTTGAATGGAATTT